GTAAGTGTTAAGTGTATATTGTAATCAGTTACGTGTGTATGTGTAATAAGTGTATATTGTAATCAGTTACGTGTGTATGTGTAATAAGTGTATATTGTAATCAGTTACGTGTGTATGGGTAATAAGTGTATATTGCATTGAAATGACACTAACACCACATTTTGTTATTATGACATATCTTTTAAAGGTTAACGTAATACTGATAAACGTACCAAAAACAAAACATGCTAAGCATACCATTATAAAAAATATGTCTTGGTTCATAACGACTTTGAGTACCTACAAGCCTTTTCCGTTTAGCTGTAATGGCGACACCGATAAACGTTCAGAATACTTTATTTTAAAAATCACATTTTTTGGTGATATCGATTATTGAATTTCTTTTTGAGATATTCCTTCCGTGAAGTATGTCAAGGCTGCCAAGTTAGCAGCTATGTGTACATGTATTTTGTGTGTCTGTTTTTGAGGGGGGGGGGGGAGCAGACAGCGTTCTTGTCGCAAGTTTCTGTTTCCCCGTAACCTTGGTGACCTAATCAGTCTGGTTCACGTTGATCCAAGATATTCAATTTTTATCGGACTTTACGATCTGACCAGCTGGGTTTTATTTATTCAGACATATTATTATTATTTCAGTATTTTGCAAGTCTTTTAATCAACGTCCTGTGACTCTCGTGCACTGGCTGATTTTATGAGCTGGATAAATCTCAACCTTAAACACTTGCTTATTTTAAGTTTTATGATCTAACTACGTTCGTAGTGAAATAAGAAGTTTGGTAATTATTTTCAAATATGCTCTTGGACTCGTTATCTTCTCTCCTTTGATTGATATTTCATTTTAGGACATCTGCTGTCTTGAAGTTGGCAGTCTTTACAAAACCGCTTAATGAAGCCCTAATGTGTTGACAATTTTTATTTTCGTTTTGTAAGTGCCATCTTGTGTAATTACGTCTATACGAAATGAAACTTTTTGTATAAACCAATAGATTTGTAGACATTCAATTATGTCTCTCCAAACCCTAGACGCCACACCATGTTATTAGGTTCCCAGTCTTCCCAGATGTATGCTTTGGAGGCCACACAAGGGGGCGCTACGAACCAGAACAGAGATAGTCCAGATCACAATCTAGATACTGAACTAATAGATGACTCCAGTGATGAAGATGAACGACTTGATGTAGGTGGCGCTGCAGACTTAAAGCCAGTGATAACAGTTTCGGAAAGTCAAACGCAAGGTAAGACAATTTTTTATGGCCAAGGGAGATTCTTTTATTGTTTTAAGTAATAAAAGACAATATATATATCGTCTATTTATATAAAGTAACATTAGTGTGGCCTCCCCTAGAGGTTCAACGGTAAGTTTGAGGTCATATAACGCTAAAATTCGGAGTTCGAATCGTAGATGGTCATAGTGCAGACAGCGCATTGTGTATCTTTGCACCTAAGCAAACAATATTTGTATACACATCATAATACATCACAGTCGATAGAAGTCGGACGTAAGAAAAAAACAGACAATGTCGAGCACACGAGATTAATACATGAGATTATCTCACTGCTTGTTAATAATTAATACATGAGATTATCTCACTGTTTGTTAATAATTAATACATGAGATTATCTCACTGTTTGTTAATAATTAATACATGAGATTATCTCACTACTTGTTAATAATTAATACATGAGATTATCTCACTGTTTGTTAATAATTAATACATGAGATTATCTCACTACTTGTTAATAATTAATACATGAGATTATCTCACTGTTTGTTAATACATGAGATTATCTCACTGTTTGTTAATACATGAGATTATCTCACTGTTTGTTAATACATGAGATTATCTCACTGTTTGTTAATACATGAGATTATCTCACTGTTTGTTAACAACTAATACGTGAGTATTCCAGTATTTTTGTAGTTGTCTAGAGAAACGAATGAAAATGTTTGTTTCTGTCATGATATTTTCCTTTCATCTATTCCAGACGAGTGCTCCAGGAAAGAGACACCTGAAGAAACTGAAGAGCATAGTTTTCTCAATGGTTATTATAGCCAGAGTCCCGACAAAGTTTCTACTAGTCCTAGTTCTAAAACCACGCCCGAAAAGGTCGTAAGGCACGAAAGTGGAGGGTCCCCCAGTAGGCTAAGTTCTTCACCAAAGTGTCCGAACCTTAGTGTCGCTAGCTTGACTTCAGACTCGACCCCAGTCACTACAGATGGATTATCCCAGACTATTAGTCAAAGTTTTCCGATTGGTGCAAGCCTACCCCACCCTCACCTGTTGCCCTTCCTTTATCCTCCAGCCCTGTATCCACAGCTCTTACTACCATCTACTTCTTCCTTGACCTCGGGGTCATCGTCTCACTTTTATCCTCTTTTAGCGCATGGCTATTCTGGTCTGCTAGACTTGGGTAATCGATTACGACAGCATCGTTTCGCCCCATATTCCGTACCTTCGTTCGCTACCACATCTTTAGGCGAGACTATTTCTCACATCGCGTCTTCGTCTTCTTCTTCTTCTTTAGGCCAACCAACGTCACCAGTTTCCGAGGCTGGTAGTCCCGAGGGAGTAGCAAATACCTCCAGTGATCTAAAAAACATTGAAAACATGGTGAATGGGCTTCAGCGAAGACAGGAACAGTTAAATGTCGAGACTCTCACTCGACTACATAACAAATAACAGCAACAAAAGGCCAAGTTAATTCTCAAAACGAAACGGCGACTTCTACCCAGTTTTTTTTTTCTGACCCCAGGTCAGCGACATATTTCTCAAAACACACACACTGGACTTTGGGAGTAAAAATAAAAATCATTAACTTCAGGTCTCGTGGCTCCACTTAGGACAAATCATCTAATCTAAAATCATATTAAATACCACTGACCGTCTTATACGCCTATATACACCCTCTACGTTATGTATGACAAAAACCAAAGACGCTGTAATATAGAACAGTAATCCCTGTAATATAGAACTGTAATCCCTGTTTTAATCTTAATGCAGTGCTTTACATTGAATGTTATTGGCCAATTTGTACATTGCTTTCAGCCTGAGAAACGAAGTTACAGGGGATTTCTTTAGCTTTTTTTTTTTTTTTTTTTTGTTACGAGTAATCACGTGCCATAATGGAATGAAGAGTTGGAGAAAAATTCAGTCCCGGCGTGCAGTTGGATATGCTTACACGAAAACTGAAGCTCTCTCTCTCTCCGTCTACTCTTGAACTTTTACTGAATTATTCTGAATCATCTGATTGGACCGAAAATTGACAAAAGTTATCTAATGACGTCTCAAAGCGGTTGGACTACACGAGGATGGCGATTCAGTATTTCCCATTAAGGATGTAAGATTCTCTAACAACTGACGCAAGGTTTAAACAGAAGAATCGGTTAGGGAATGAAAATAAAGTGGCGGGAAAACCAGCCGCAAAGACGATCTACATACCAGTAAACCCAGCATTTTTATGTAACCTAGAACTCTGCATTTGAAAGTGATTGAGGAAAACGATGAACTAATCACTGAATTAGTTTGTAAGCTCAATTTGGGGTTCTCTAAATTATCGAGTACAAACTCTGGATCTAATTGTAATCTCATTATGTAACTAACTACCTATTTCGCTTAACTAGCGTAAAGTGCATATTTTTATGAACTGCCTCGTTAGTTTTTTGGGTTGTTATTTTTTATTAAATTAATTTATTCCTAGGCTTTTATCTTTCGTTTCTTAGGAAATAAATTCAGAAACTGTTTCAACTTGGTAACAAAACCATTTAATCAAATCTTATGTCCACTAAGCTTATGTTATCATCTCAAACCCACTTAGATTGTGTGGTCATTTCGACTCTTGACTTGTGTCCTGAATTTTCGGTTCTTCCACAGCATGATTCCATAGGTCAAGTCCATTTATGTTGTGTCACAAGTTAATGCTATCATCTCGAGTCCAGTTCAAAATTATAACTTGTTGCTTGGTCAAATCCACTTAGTTTGTGTTACCAGGTCAATCTAATTAAGTTGTGTTACCAGGTCAATCTAATTAAGTTGTATTACCAAGTAAAATATCCTTAGCTAGTGTTAGCAGGTTAAAATCTACCTAGCTTAAGTTACCAGGTCAAATCCACTTAACTTGTGTTACCAGGCCAAGACCACTTAACATATGTTACCAGGTCAAATCTCCTTAGTTTGTGTTACCAGGTCAATTCCACTTAACTTGTGTTACCAGGCCAAGACCACTTAACTTGTGTTACCAGGTCAAATCCGCTTAGTTTGTGTTACCAGATCAATTCCACCTAGTTTGTGTTACCAGATCAAATCTACTTAACCTGTGTTACCAGGTCAAATCCGCTTAGCTTGTGTAACCAGGTCAAATATACTTAACTTGTGTTTCCAGGTCAAATCCGCTTAGTTTGTATTACCAGATCAAATCTACTTAACTTGTGTTACCAAGTCAAATCCGCTTAGTTTGTGTTACCAGGTCAATTCCACCTAGCTTGTGTTACCAAGTAAAACCGTACGAGTATCTGGTCAAACCACACACAAACAGAGACAACATTTATGTGTACGAAACCTATACTCATCAGAGTCGGCTGATGATAACCCCGTCTCTAGTTTCCTAAAGTTATCAAACTGTAAAATCCAGTGTTTCATTCTTGATAGAGGAATGTGACAATTTGAGGAAAGAGCAAAAATAATGGTGGCAACGTCGAATAATACCTATTTATAAAGCTGGAGATAAATATGTGAGTGGTTGTACACTTACGTGCAATTAGAAAGTATGTATATGTTGGCGGGTACGGTAGTGTGCAAGTGTGTCCTTCGTAAACTAAATTTGTTAAATTAGAAAGTGTGTATGTTTTATATGTTGGCGGGTACGGTAGTGTGCAAGTGTGTCCTTCATCAACTAAATTTTTTAAATTAGAAAGTTTTTTATCGAGTCTTCTTCACTTTTGGCCATTAAGCTCAATGAAGTAACAACATAAATTATATTAAATAGGCAAATGAATACATTTTTCATATATTCTTTTTTTTTTACACATTCATATACAATCTCTCATGAGGCTTTCTTTATAAGTTCTTTTATATATATATCCAAGAAAGCTCCTTCTAACGATTATCAAAGTAAGAGCTCGGGATTAGTCATATTGCTATTAAAGGTGTATATTTTAAATCTTGTGTGCCAAATATAACGCCCACTCGCTGCGAGTTCGCGCATCCTCTGTCCAGAGTGAAACAAATATAGTGTAAACTCGCAATATTGCTTCAGTATGCAAGCACTCCATCTGCCATAGCACGAGAGTTTATGTTGTGTGTCTTCGTGTTCACAAAGGTTGCGGGTTAAACGGCGAGACTATTCCGTAAAAGTTGTAGGTGTGTCGGATAAATTAAGACAGACCATGGTGAACATTTCTTAACTCCACAACGAGATGGCGCCACTAGCATAGTATCATTGGGACATACTTGTTTTAAAAACTAATTGAAATTAACTGATTAGAATCGTAAACGCAGCTGTTCATCCAGTCAAGTTCTTTCTCTCTATTTTTCATTCGTATCAAACTTTTTTTTCTTCTTCTTGAAAACATGTTTTATGTCTTACTAATAATGTGTGAAGCTCAATTCTCGTCCTTGAATATCTAAATTAAAAAACGATTTGTTCGGTTCTTATACGAAACAAAAGAATGCTGTATCATTTGAAAAATCAGTCAGGAGATAAAGTATCAGGAGAACCTAAGTTAGTAACAGATCACGTGTTTCCCTGTAAACTGCTTCGGTGAATTTTCATAATTTCGGTATTATCTCCTTTGAGGTATCAAAACTCCCTTCGTCTATACAGATTTTTTATATCTGTTGTAAGACTGTATGTATATTTAGGCTATTTTTATGTTTGTAGTAAACAGACTTTCACATAGCCAGGAATATAATGTTTTCCTTACAAGTACAAGGAAGTGGGGGTAATGTCAAAAATCTTGCTCCGTGATGAAATGAGACTTTTCAGGTGGTTTGTTTAGAAGCCTCACCTTTATAAGGGACTTAAGTTCTTGGGCCACGCTATACATTAAAAAGCAATACGCCTACCTAACGGGATTTAATCTGTATATTCATAATATGACCGGGATTCGAATACCTATTAGATTTAATGTTGATTTTCCCATCTAATCTCTTGTATTTTAAGTGGTTATATAGCCACGCATAAGCCCCCCCCCCCAGTGGCACGGCGGACTTACAACGCTAGAAACCGGGTTTCGATACCCACGGTGGGCAAAGCACAAGTAGCCCATTGTGTAGCTTGGTGGTTCATTTCAAACAAACAAACAAAAACGTAACGCATAAATATATTACCAATATCATACATGTTGATTTAAGCTCAAGTACACTCAGTTTTGTTTTTTTAGTGTATAGTTTTGAATCTTGCTTGAAATCAGGCTTCACTTATTTAGATATCTCAGGAAAAACTTGTAGCACTATACAGACAAGCTGTTATATACAAGCAGGCTTCCTCGTGCGAAAACGTTTTGGTTTTTTTTTATTAACCTTAAACATAGTTAAGGACAAGATGCCTGCCTACTACACGTCGCTTCTTCTCCTCACAAATTAGCTTCATTTGTCAAATGGTTCATGAATCTACGGATTTTGTTGCGACGCTTACATCCGTATTGACTTTTAACCTTTTAGTTTTTCTGATTTATATTTCAATTCCATCCTACAGATCGCCAATATTAATTTATATAGGCTATATGTATAAAATGTTACTGTTGTTGTTGTATATTACTCCCTTAGGAAGTCCGATCAAAACGTATTAATATTTTCGTGTAAGTGAATTTTATGTGTATTATTATTATTATGGTCTGTAATAAATGAGGGGTAATTGTACTCAAACTTGTATAATTACAGGTAATAACAGAAGTGTAATGACGCTACGTTAGATATAACGTTACGTGTTGATTGTATGCTATTATTATTATTTTTCTTGAAAATAAAAGAAAGACGTTGTTCATCCTTATCCTGATAATAATGAGGGAAGTTAAAACTAACGTTTCAAGGAACTTCTAATCTTAACAATTGTGGATTTCGTCGTCATGTTCGTTTTTATTTGTTTTTTTTTCTTTCTTACTAATGTTTGTAAATGAATCGTACTTTTTGTGTTTGTACAATTTACCATCGTGAGTTATAAAATACGGAGACGTGAAGATTTTGTCTTCAACAGTGTTGATAAGTAGATGTTCCCTATGTACAGGTTGTATTTATTGTTTGTTCATTGTGTGTAGAATACGTGTAGCATCATTAAAAAGTGTTAACACAGATAAACGTTCTTTTATTCTGGATGTCTGTTTCCAAAAAACACGTAACATCTGAAGTCCGATGTGGAAATTGCGTCTAACACAAAGCGCTGCTAACCAGTCCATGGTCTCTATACAGTTACAAAACACTGCTGTGGAAGTGGAGATTCACCACACAGATGCCACGGTGATATTATTATTAAGAATTCCTGATCAAAAATAAGCTAACGAAATGTGCACCGGGATCATCGGCCGCGTATTGAAGAATTCAAATTGGCTGTGCTTCCAATTTCCTATGTGTATCTACGCGATGTAATGTAGCTAGCTTTTATTCAAATGTACAAATCGGTTGTACAAAAGAAATCAGATATGGTACGAACGTATTTATACTCAAAATATGTCTGTGATTGCCGACGTCAATCTGACTCAGACTTTGACAAGTCGGGGAGTAAGGTGAAGAATAAAAATACTTTTGTCCATAATATATATTTTTTTATTTTATTTGCATAGCCTCTAGAACCTCATAAATCCATATATATACAGTTCTTTTTTTTTCAGTATCCCTGTACACTGTATCTAGTATTTACTCTCTTCTACCACAAACTGTTGCTATATCAGTAATGCGGGTTTATATAAACAGTTTATAACTCTGTTATTAGATACATAATACCATGTTGAACACGACACTCTGTAAAAGGTCAGGGCATACGAACTTTGCTCCCTCACCGTTGCACATAGGGTTAATGAAGCCAATATTGTATAATAAACTAAATATCATAAATCAGTTCACAAACAAACTTCCGACACAAGTCTTTGCAATATTTCCTTAAACTCTTAAGTCTTGTA